CTAAAAACAAACTAAAAACTACTTCCAAAAACATTCAGCTTTGATATTAATGAGTTTTTTGGGTTCATTGAGAACATGGTTGTTGTTCAATAATAAAATTATTCCTCAAAAATACAACTTGCCTAATAATTCTGCACTCCCTGTATATACTGAGATCACATCTAACATAGTACTAAATAAATTACATTGAGAAATTGAGGTACAAAGTCTGTCTTTAATCAGCCAAGTCACTCCAGGTAAATAATGTGGTGATCCTCTCTCTTCTCTAATGACTTGAGGTTGACATTTGTATATTTTATTAAAACTGTTTTGTAGATTGTGGTACTGTTGTTACATTTGCCAAATTCTAACACCAAATTCATTAAAAGCTGACAATGAAAACACTGTTCAACCCTTCTGCTTTAAAATGAGCTGCCATACTAAAACCCACTTGTGTATGTCAGTGTGCTTATGATTAAAGTGACACTTTTTTTCAAAAGAAACTTTTATTCCATCCATCCATTTTCTTGACCACATATCCAATTAAGGCCACAGGAAGACTGGACAGGGTGACAGCTAGGGCTGGGTATCGTCACTGATTCCTATAACTGATTCGATTCCGATTCACAAGATCCCGATTTGATTGGATTCGATTTTGCATTAGAACCCTGCAGTAGATCAAAAACTGAAGAAAGGTTTTATTAGAGACAAAAGTTTAAATTACACTGCACACAACGGTAGACTGGTGCGTAATAAGCAAGCGAATAATGCAGAAAACAGATTTTATTTATGCTTGTTCAGTGAATTTTGGTCAGAGGGTGATGAAACCTGCAGCTTCAGAATCTGTGAGATGTTGGCTTTTGCAAACATGCTGTCGGCGAACAGGGAGATCTGAAAATTTAGATTCATCCAGCTACCCTAACATAAATGTGAACCATGGCGAATGCTAGAGTACCCAAAGTGAACCTATGGGGACAGAAATAATATGCAAGTTGCACACAGGAAGTCTGTGTTTATTTATTTATTTAAACTTATATTCTTTGTTGAAAATCAAACATTTTAAAATGTAGAACACATTTCACAAGTTGATATAGTATTCATTAAATTCAACTCTCTTTAACGCAATAACAATTTAATTGAATTTTATTTAATTAATGCCAAATCAAAGCAACAGTCCCTTCATGGTGCTTTATGCTGTAAGGTAAAGACCCCACAAAATAAGTAGTAAGTAATTAATAAATAATAGGACCTTGCTATTGAAGAAAAGTTATGGTTATGCCAATAATGTTTGTTTAAAATCCTACAATGTGGCTGAATTAAAGCAATTCTGCAACGAATGGGCCAAAATTCCTCCACAGCAATGCAAAAGATTCATTATCGACGATCACAATCACAATCATCTTCTTCATCAAGCAGTTGATTGTAGTTTTTGCTGCAAAGTGTTGGATAACCAATGGTTAAGTTTAGGGAACAGTTACTTTTGACATAGGGCCAGGTAGGTTTGGAAGTTTTTTTCCACTCAATAAGTGAAATCATGTTTAAAAACCAGAGGTTTGTATTTACTTGTCTTTGTCTAATTTCAGATTTGTTTGATGATCTGAAACATGTAAGTTTGACAAATATGCAAACATTAAAAATAAATAAGTGCCCAGAAAATATCCTGAAGAGTTTAGATACTTTTACAGAAAGGTATCTTAGTGTAAATGTGCATGTTGTTTAACTGTATGGAAATTACATTTTTATTGGACAGAGTTGTAATTTAACCCTAATGTTACCTTTAATTAACGGCAGTAGCAATTATTGCAAAATTGTTAGAATCAGCCAGTCATGTGTTCCTCTAAATACTTTTTTCAGCTTCTAAAGGTTCTAAAACTGTAATAGTATGAATATTATTTTAAATAGAGTTACACGAAACGCTGAACTGTATATGCACTTCTTGAGTCCTTTGAGTCTTTTGACCTCTTTTATTCAGACATGCGAGCAATGATCATCATTAAATTCTTATAAGATACAAAAATAATAGTCGTTAATTAATTTTTACCCACAAAAAATGAATAGTTAATGCAAACTTAAAAACATGAAGAGATTGTCCTCCTCTGTTTCTTTGTTTTTTCTGCCTGCTTACAAGATGAAAATTGTTGCATATCATACCAAATTGAAAATAATCAAGATAAAAGCAAAGCTTGGAATAAAAAGAGACCCGAAAAGTCCT